TTCATAAAACCAACATAATTTTCCAATCTCTACCATTAAGTTCGCCTTCTGCTTCTGAGAAATACCAACGGACACTTCGACAAACATTCCCTATTATGGTTTTTGTCAATTAAGGTTCTTTTCATTTTTCACATCGACACAAAGCTATTAGAGCACACATCTCCACCATAACTCTAAATTCGAACTCGATCCAATGGCTGCGAACGACAGAAGAGACAGAGAGACACCCAAGTGTTTGTCGAAAGAATGAGTGAACGGATGCATGTGCCTCGTGAATCAACCATTTCTAAAACTTGACTGTGTTTTACCTCCAATCATCATTTTGAAGATGTGCTCATTGATTTTCAAAATCTTCGCGATTCGTTTCACATCATTGCAAAATTTCTACTGTTATGTTTTTGATTTCTCAAACACCCGAAAATCAGGTTCAAAAAGCCTCAACTTAGATGCTACACTGCTCATTCATGTAATTATCGGTTTCCTGGCGTCTTTTTTGCCCTATTATTTTTTCGCGTACCGTTTCATCTAAGTGTGTTCTTTGCTTTTTCTAATTGTTTGGCTCTTTCCACTGCTCAAAAAATGATATTTGAGATGGATCTTTTTATTCTCGGCTTTTGTCGCATTCAAATTGAATTTTCACTGTTCTCTTGAATTTCACACCACCAGCGACTTCGAAGCGCAGAGACCTCTCGAATGGGACAATGTGAAGTTGAAGTCTAATATGTCTAAGAACTCAAATTACTCTGTTTCTTTTTGTGCTCTCAGTCTCAAATTAGCTTATTCGGAGAAAGCTTTATCTCAATTTTTAAAGTTTTGATCCAGTCGAGCTTCAATCCGTAAAAAATATTGCCGAAGACAATTTGTATTATTAAAAAATTACAGTATTAAATTTTGTTTTGTTTGTGCCAAGAATAAAATTAATAGTTGGCATGAAATATTCAAATTCACAATAGGTGCCTTCCTTCGATAATAGAATATCCTAATTGCAAATGATAATTAGCCAATGAGGAAAATAACATGTGGATAATATTTTTCTATTTTTGATCAATGTGACGACTCTTCTCGACGATGATTTGGATATGCCTCGATCGTTGTACGCACGTACTTTTTGGAAAGATTGTCCCAACGCTCTGCCAAGGTCTTCCTTGGAGTATCGATACGTTGGAATTCTCCTTCTTTCCATTAATAGGCAGTCAATCTGGCGCTACATTTTGCCTTCCCAATAGGACATTTTTGACATTCTCAGAACTGCGCCATAATGTGTTTTTGACAGAATCTCGGATGATCTAAAAATTTTTGTGGACAAAATAAGATTCAAATATATATTCTTTCAGTAGAAGGGCACGCATTCGCCCCTACTCCGCTCTTTACCTATTTTGTGTCAATAATATTGTTTTCGATTTAGTTGTCCTCGAATAAGCCAACGTCGTCGTTGGTTGCTTGTTCGCGACGACAAAAATGATTTCTCATGAGCGGACACATTTGACAAAAAGAGAACCCGTTTTGTTCTGTCTGCTATTCTGTTTTTGACCGGAAGCAAAGATCTCGTCGACTAATTATTTTTCTTTCCGACGCCCAAACTAATTGTTTTCAAGTTGACCCAAAATGTTTGTGGTGCTCCAGGAGCAAACACATAAAACTGCTCTCCCGGTGGCACAGCTCCATTTTTGTCGAAGTCTTTTGGAATCAATGAACATGTCTCGAAAAGCATTCGGTGAATTGCGTAATTGCTCCTATGATTTTGTAATTACATATCTTGCAAAAATATGCTTCCATTCACACTCTCGTCTTTCCATATATGAAACAAGCCTAAATTTGGGCAATTTTCGTCAGAATCTACTGACGCACTCCCACTTATTTTAGCCAATTTTTAGTAATTCCGTTTTTCGCTTTATTTTATTCATTTATTTCTGTCTGAAACCTAAATCGGGCGTTCAAGTAAACGTTGGTGCAAAAAAATGATGTCTGAACACTTTTTTATGCAACAAATTGTTTGCATGGACCTTGAGGCCACTGCCGTCAAATTGAATTGGTCCCGCGTTTATTTGAATAAATTCTTTGACCCGAATGATGTTTATTTTTGAGCAAGCGTGACTTGAACTGAAAAATTCTCATTTTGATAGCTCATACATATTGATACCAAAATCAAAAGTTTGTAACTTTCCAGCAAACTTTAAAATAATAATCTCTCTGGAACGCGCTCTTATATTTTCGATGTTGAACTACAGAAATGTACAATTTGAAAGGCTTCAAAAAATAATATTTGATATTTATTATGGAAAATGAGATAGTGATGTTAGGGTTTCCGCGGCGGGCGGTGACGGGCGGCCGGCGTAGCAGGCGGACAAGTTTTTGCCAACGTTGAAACCTTAACTGACGTTACGTTTTTCTAATCATGTTAATTTCTCATGTTTCCCAAATTTATGTGGAGATCATGATAATACTGAAAAAAGGAATGCTGCCGTGAGCAACATGATACCTAAAATTTAAGTTCATATTAGCGTTCCATTTATTGCAATTACTCGAAGCAAACCAATTGAATTAAAAATCACATTTGCATATTACCTTATTCGAAACCTTTCAGCCGCACATTGACATCTATTGCCTCACAGATTTTTGATTCTTTTCAACAAATAAACAAGTAAATATTTACACGGTTTGCATTTTTCGAACTGATAATTATATACTATCTATGTGTATGTATATATTTATAATAATTGTTTCGCGGTACCGTAATCATTCGATGTCGTTCTTGGTATTTATTTACGAACGTCACAATTATAGCACAGTCGTCATTGCCTAATTGGGAGTTTCTAAATCCGTTCTGTGAAACAATACATTTCCCTTCTTTTCGACGGATTAGTATTTGCCCTGATGAACTATCACATAGAGTTTTAATTTACAAGGATTACGTTGCATTCCTGTTATCAAATATCATCTTTATTACACTTTAATTATGTCTACAAATTTGAGCTTCTTTTGGACTGATTCCCGAGATTATTCTTGGAACAAACTTCGACATTATTATTAAACGAGATTTGTGCTTTGTGGACCGCAACATGCATTTTTGAAAGTCACTTTTTCCGGCTTCTCTTGCCTTTCTTAAAATTATTTTTTATAATATTTGGCATCTTACTAATCAATTGCTTATTCCTTTGGTTAAATTTATCATTAACAGTTCAAAATGTTTTTATTGGAGATTTTTATAACATATAAACTGTACAATTGTTTTATATTCGTAAACCTTTGAAGCAAACTAGAAATATCAACAAATTGCATAAGTTTTAGAGAAATTCAATTACATATAATAGATTTGTATCAGCTGTTATTATACCAAAAAACAACCATAAATAGGCATATGAGAAAGTTATTATATTTACACAAACAGTGTGTCCAAACACTCGGCTAACAGGTCTTCCAAGCTTTAATCTTAATCTTTAAAAAATAAAGTCGAACGGCTTCCATAATTCATCTTCAACTAGACTACAACTATGGAGATAATCGGATAATTTGAGATGTGTTCTGAATATTTGAAAATCATTTTTTGAGGGGATTCCAGACGATCTCTGTTTCTTCTTTATTTTTGTTTCAATGTAGACTTCAAAAAAGTATTTTAAAAATTTTGAGCCACGGGGATTCGTTGGAAGCGATCAGAAATCTGAAAAACTTAGCCAAACATCAGAAGTTTGATTACACTTTTTCTGCTGAAAATGTCGAATGTGTCATTAAGATCTCAATCAATATTTCGAACCATAATGTTGCCTTCTTACGGTAAATTTCACGCGGATTGTTTATCATTTTGTTTGCATAAATGTTAGAAAAAAGTATAACCAAAAATATGCTCAAAGATTCGAAAATCACATTCCTTCATGTTCCCATCCCCATATATTCTCATTCTTTTTTTTTCTTTAATTTCCAAATATTTTGTATATTTTACGAACCCTTATGAACTCGCACGAGAATTCGACATATTTGGTGTTCATTTCACCCCTTCATACATCATCATCGTCATGATGTTCTAAATGTGATTCTTTTTTTTTGTTGAATTCAGAATGCATACATTAATAATTTATTGTCGGCGGCAAACAACTGAAAGTAGGCGGAGCCTGTCATCAAACAAAATTAGTGTAGATTTACAAGCTGGGGGAAATTTTTGCGTTGTCGGACTATTGATCTCATCGGGAAACTTCTAAATACCTCGCGACACTTGGCCTACATATATTCGAATTCGAACCTGTATTTTGAATCCAGCAACACCCGAGCAAAACATATTCAAAACTTTTGCAATTCTCTCAAATTTCATGTTCGTTCTTTTATTTGCAAAACGTCTCGAAGAATAATGGGTCTTCGGACAAAATTCAGTGAATTTTGAATGTTTCCAGTTACCGTATATTTTTTGATATGATTAGTTCTTGATTAAATTTTTTACATCATCCACAGTAATCCAAGATTCCGTGTAAAATTAATACAAAATCCTGAAAGCTGCTCGTTTCTCAAAGTAGAATATTCGAAACCACATTCATTTGTATTCGAAATCACCATCGGCTTTCATTTTCCCCCAATAAGTCACTGAAGCGGTTATTTCATGATTTTCAGATTTCTGGTTGTAAAAAGTGCAAATAATGGCATTTTTCCTACTGTATCCAATCAAGAAAAATTCGCAATCCTATTGAAATGATGGTTTTCCAAAGATATCAGAGCTCCAAATCTACCGTAGTCAATGAAGCTAATTGAATTTCGTGATATTTCATAGGATTAAACTAAATTCGTGCCTACCTTTTAATTCAAATTTCCTGCTGTCAGCATTTAAGACACTTACATAAAAGATTCAATTAACATGTTTGATTTGTAGGCTAATAATTTTTATTGGTCAATTTTTTTCATATTGGTTTTTCATCGGTTGTCACAAAAAGACCCCCACTACTTGTGTTGTGCAATTGACACATTTTTGTTATTTGATTATGTTTATTCCTCGTTGTTTCAGAAGGTTCACACATACAATGAATGGCTCCGGAAAAGTTTATTTATGCGATTATATGCATTCTGTAGAGCATCCAATTTCATTATGGTTAGATGTGAGTTTCTGCAGTTTGAAATCAATGTTCAGCATTAGCTGTTTTGAGCCCAGGATTTGAATTTCACAGCAGCAACACTAATAACGCATTTTTTTAGAGAAAATCGAATTAGTCGTTTGAATTGCTTCCAATAATTATATTTTCAAGAACAAAAGGAGAAAAAAAGAAAAAGCTTTAGAGCAACGTTCTGCTAGATATTATACATTGGGGGAATGGGAAAAACAGTTGTTCGGAATACAATCATTTTTTGTGACAATTGCAAAAAAAAGAAAGAAAACAGCTTGATGTTACGAGTTTTGAACGTTGGAAAACAAAACAATAAAATAGAAGAAAGCGGCAAAAACAAAGAAAAAATAGGCATCGTTTTTCAGGGACCTTGCACTTGTCTGGCTGCCACATTTTCGGCGTTGGGCACCTCTTACGCAATCGGATTTCTGCGAAGAGCACATTTGAACAAAAATATGACGGCTGGTGAGGTTATTGGCTATCACTGTCTGAAAATCATTTTCTAATTTTCAGCGTTGTACACACTATGCATTATTGATTTCATGCTTATGATGACAACAATACTTTTTTTGAGCATCGAAGCCAACAGCATATTATTCGCCGGCAAGAATGTGATGTTCGACAAACAGATTATGATACTGATGCTATACGGTATCCGAAATAGTTTGGCAATGTCCTCGGTGAGCCTATTCAAAATACAACCAACGAATTCGATTCTTTTTTTTCTAGACGATGCTCGTAATTTATATCACATATATTCGGTATCGAGTAGTCAAAAATCCGCTGAGATTCGCCTCCAACTACACTGCCAGACATGGCAATGTGGTAACTGGAAAACAGTCGCTAGTGGGACAAGTGTCCGAATTGTCGCGGAATTCGATTCCGCCGAATCCGTTCGAAGCATGCATGGAACATTATTCATCAGCACAGAAGCTTAGAAAATATTATAGGTCTTTCATGATTCCAGGTACATTCTATTTATGTTTGAACGTGTTCAATAATCATAAATAATTTCCAGTCATGGTTGTGATACTCTGCTTTATTTTTCATCTACCTTCCTACTTTGAATTCAACTTTGTCGTTTGCTATGACATTTCCCACAAATCAAACTCAATGATGCTCATCCCATCGGAGCTTCGATTCACTCCAGAATACATCAAATGGAAGGCAATGTTCACTTCAATCACCGAGACTATCGGCCCAATGCTTGTCATTTCGGTTTTGTCCCTTTTCACGGAGTATCGAATTCACATGAATGTGGTCAGTCGCAGAAGGTTAGATTCCATGTGGAAATGTGTATTCGAGTTCTGCTACTTTCAGATTATTCGAAAGTCAGCGACGAAGTGAAGATGTCCGCGTGACCGAGCAGTTAAAGGACAAGGCTTCAAAAGCATTAGCAGTGTTCATTGTTGTCAAATTTTTGATATTAACGTATCTTCTTATATCATTCTATTCAACAAAAAAAGGTTTCCCACGAATCTGACGTATCGAAATCCTCAAAGATATGTACGTGAATTTGTTGAAAATGACGTGCAAAAATTTTCTGCAAATCCATTTTCCTCAAGTTTTCTCAATTCTATTTTAAGAGTACTGAGAATTTTGAAAGTTCATAGTAGATTTGAAAATAATTGATGGGAATATTCCTGAAATTATTCCCAGCCATTTTCAGATCTCTTCCAACATTCATCGACATCTATGAGCTTACGGTAGCTTCATCGCGCGAGTTCAGCTATTTCATGACAATTTTGACGAGAATGTCCGATTTCCTTGTTGTTCTCAATTCGGCGACGAACACGCTCGCTTATTTCGGAAAAAATCAATTCGAGAAGTGCGTTTGAATTCAAGGCATTTCGTTCACAAGTGCCAAATTTTGAGGTGTTTCAGATGGCTGGAACGACGAATTCGTCGTCGAATCAAACGGAAACAAACGACAAGAATTCTTCAGATTTCCTTCGCCGAATAACATTCACATTTTGTTAACTATTTAATTTTGTTGTTAGGGTCCGATCTCAACTTCTTTCCCTTTGTTGTTCTACCGGTAATGTTGATTCAAAAATGCGTGTAATGAATTTTGCTCCCTATCGCCTCGCACATGACAGCGCGCAAGTCGGATTATCGGAAGGTCTCTTTTGTGCTCGTACTGAAGAGCACCAATTCAATTAATTCGCATGGGATGCAATTGACCAAAATATTGTGACAATTATGGGATTACCGTGCTCGGCGGTGAATCTCTTTAAAACGATAATCCCGGTGAACGATTGTAGATTTGAATTTGACAAAAAAAACGGTAAAGTGTGACTTTAAAATTTTTGACTTGGATCTATTTGAAATTAATTTTACAACAAAATTGATTTATCCGATATGGAATGAATGCAAAATGTCAGGAATAGCAACGATTTCATTAAATCGACATTTGAGATTTTTTGAATTTGTTGTTTGCTCATTGTGTTCCCAATTTTCATAATCACAAACATTTTAAATCGTTTTTGGATTTTTTATTTCTTTAAAAAATGAAATAGAAATAAAATTATGACCGTCTCGATAAATATGGATAGATTTGTGCATTGGCCAAACAATCGCCAGAACGTTGCAGCGGATAGTATCACATTTTATAGTCTCATTTAACTATGTGGAAGTGCAGGTATACTCAGCGCATAATTACCATACTTGGCAACTGGTCATCTGCTTGCTGATGCGAACTTGATAACGAAAAGTTATTGTGGGCTCTCAATTACTATGGGCAGCTGGTAATTAATGGCTCGCTCCCGCTGTGAACACGCGCACTTGCCCATATTAAGAGACGTGACGGTGATGATGACTCGGCATGGATTCCTTGGAGCAACATCGCACATTAATGAGATGTGCATAAATCGAAAGGGGTGGGTAAACAAAAGAGCATCCATATTGCTAGGAGGTCAATTCTCTAAATTATGAAGCAATGATTATTGGAATAAAATAACGAATTGGCTTTTTTGCAAGATATTGCATATTCTAAAAAAAATTGTTTCAACAAATTTTCAAAAAAGTTTTAATTTGTTAATTTAAACTATAGAGATATCTTTCTTCCCACTAAAAATTCGTTATTGTGCCCTACATTTATTATTCAAATATACATATTTAAAGTCCAAAGCCGTCTTAGAGAAAGGTTAACTTTTCGGGCGATTGAGCTGCAGATAAATGTGCATATAACATTTCATAACCCATAATTTTGATTAGAGTAGCAACAATTCACAACAATGGAAAACTGGCAAGTCTATCACATTCTGCTCACCTGCTGCATAGCAAGATTGAACACACTGATAAACGTCGAGAAAGGTGCTAATCCAAAATTAGCCTCGAATTGACCATCAAATGATACCAGATGGCCAATGTTGAATTAACTATTTCGATACTTCCTGGATTTCAGAAGTCGCTTCTGAAATTTGCTTCCTGTTAATAAAATAGATTGAAACCATGGGAGTTTTATAATTATACGTCTGGTGGTCCCAATATTTTGATTATCATAATTTGCGCAGTTGGGTGTCTTGGCACCTGTGTCAAAAATAGCTCCCAATATCGAGAATGGTAACATCCCAAAAGGCGAGCAACCGCGAAAAAGAAGACGTGAAAAGAATGGCGATGGCGATAATCCGGTGCTGCAATTTGCTTTGTGGAATCGAGATTCCGCGCTTGTTTCCTCATTACCTCGAATGCGCAATGCACAGTAATCGTCGAAATTTGACACATTTGTGTGGTGGCCACATTCGAAAACAGTCTTTCATGATGGCCGACCAATTAACGCGTTTTTGTTGATTTGGTGTGTCCGTTGTTGTGTTGCATCTCATCCATCCATACATTGTGAAAGCCTGGCCGACTGAAAGAAGCGCACGTGAAAACTCGTCGAATCGCTACCGTATAGCATTTTACGGCGATGAATAATTGAAGATGGGCAACGTTTGGCGATGAATAGGTGCACGGCGAAATTCGAGATTTTCGAAATGAAATCAAAAGGACCAAACCAAGTGCAACACGGCTTTTCATTTTTTGTCGACGTCGTCATAATTGGTTTTGTTTCAGTTTCTATTTGGTGAAGTTTAAAAAAAAGTCTTCATTATAGTTAAATAGTCCCAATTTATTGAAAAAATATATAAACTAATCGACTGCATAGTAAAAATTTTTCTAATCCTTGATTTGTCAATTTTTATAATCGCCTGAATCCATAGATGATACTGTATTATAAAATATTGTTAATATGGTCGCCCCACTGTGACCTGCTTTAGGCAACTTCGGCGATCTGCTAGTTTGTCACATTTACATATATACAGTATCCTCGTATACAAAATGATTCGATGAAAATAATTAAACCATTTGAATAATAACGAGCATTAATTCAAAATACTTTGAAGTTATTTAAGTAATCTAACAATAAACTCGATGTTGTGAGATATCAATTTTTGAGAAGAGCTTTTGAAAATAAAATCAACGCACGAACTTGGCACTGTCACCAAATTTACTTGAAATGGTAGTTTTTAGAAAGCATTTTATCGATTTAGATTTTTCTCAATGAGCAGAATTTTAATAATCCAGTTCAACTGCTCCAATTAGAGAAACACGAAAATTTATCAATTCCGTTCTACAATTCTATACATCAGAATATATGGGTGGATAATGTGGCTGGACCATATTGTCTATTGGTGCCAGTCGGTAATTATTATAAACTGGAGATTGCAAATTAAAGATAGGCAGTAAAGATTCTAGATGTCCCGATTGAATTATTTCTTTATTTTAAACTAAATTTACAAAGTCATTGAAACCTTATTCAGAACTACTAGGAAGAACTATTAGGGTCAAAACTTGAAAATTGTAAGTTGATTAATCAAAATTAAATTTTAGACTAACGATATATGTATTCCCCTCTAAAGTGACCTTTTTTGCAATTTCTCCTATGGGGGATGTTCAATATTGAAAAGGTCCTCGTCATATTGACATCCGGCGACCATTTGACCGTCATCTCCTAATCCAATTATATTCATCTGTCGACCGCGAAAAGCTTCATATTTCAAAGCTCGTCTCAAATTCGAAACCAATTTTTTTGCGCGTGTTCTGCGATAATTAGCGTGTGTGTTGGAGCAGGTGCTGCTCATCGTTTGGCCCCGCCCATCTACCGTACCCGCGTCGGACCAATGAGCAATTCGCGCCACACCTTTTTTGGGCAACTCGACCACCCGCCCAATGACAATTGTTTCGAGTGTTATCAGCCGTATCCGGACGCCACACTGCCACCCATTCTGCAACATCAGCAACACCATTCGACACCATATCTCGCCGAGCTCTCCGAGCAGACCACTCCTATCGCTTCGCACATGAACTTGTATTCCCTTGAGCAGGTTAGTCTGTTAACTGGATGCCATCTACGAATACTACTTTTGAATCATATTTCGTTATTCCTTTATTCGTTTTTATTTCAGCTCGAAACTATTTGCACATCTCTTTTCCAATCGAGAGATGGTGATCGTCTTGTGACATTCTTCCATCAAATTGGCCAATCCGAGGCATGGAGAAGTGAGAGAATTTTAGTTGGTACGTTTAACATACTGTAAAGCTCTGAAATTAAAAAAAAAACATTTCAGCTTATGCTTATGCATTGTATCATGCCAATGAATTTGATACTCTTTTCAACATCTTGTCAACAAGAACTTTCAGTCCAGAACATTTCAATGATCTTCAAGAGATTTGGCATAATGCCAGATATAAAGAGGTTTTATTGAATTAATTTAGAAAAGCACTATATGAATTGCTATTTTTGCAGAGCCAAATCAAACGCGGCAAAGAACTGAATCCTGTTGAGAAGTATCGCCTACGTCGCAAATATCCACCACCAAAGACAATTTGGGACGGTGAGGAAACTGTTTATAGTTTTAAGGAAAATAGCAGAAAGGTTCCGAATAAAATGAAATTCGAAACATTTGTTTAAAAAAAACAATTTTCAGTACCTGAAACAGTTTTACAAGCAGAACGCTTATCCGTCGCTGGAACAGAAAAGAGAGATTTCGAGAGTCACTGGTTTGAGAATTATCCAGGTTTGCCTTCAAAAATTCCATTTCTAATAACATACATTTACCTTTGTTTTCCAGATTTCGAACTGGTTCAAAAATCGGCGCCAGCGTGACAAGCCTCCTTCAAAAGGCTCGCCTGAATCGAGTTCCAGCTCGACCGGCAACGCTTCCGAGTTCAGTCGCATCATCTCTCCGCACAGCTTCAACATGGCTGCCGCGGCCGCCTACAGCAGCATTCCGCTAAATGTTGGCATGTTCTATGATCCGAACCCCGATCAAAAAACGTTGTGATTTTCTATAAATCCCAAATTTTCTTTATCGACCCCCTATCGATCTTCTCCTTGCTTTATAGATTAGCCGTTGCCGTCCATTGTGTTCCATAAACGTTTGATTTTGTGTCCCACTTGGTCTATGTGGACTTTACAACAAAAGACGCTATAGGATAACAACAAACATCACAATCAATTGAGGATCCACAACACATTTCGTCGCCAAATATGCTCCGATTCTGTCTGATACTGTCGATCCTTATTAATTGCTCCATTCCAATATTTGTTTGTAAAGACGCTTCATTCGATTGCCAAATCATTCTGTCCAAATGACTTTCGCCAAATCGTATTGAGCAGAAGCTCATGGAAATTGCATGTCCCTTGAGTTGCGGGTTTTGCGTTCTCGATCGCACTGGAATCGATTGTCGCGATGAAGCATCCGATTGTCTCGAAAGAATTTCATTTTGCAGACGACCACATTTTCGAAGAATGATGAAGAATCAGTAAGTGTTGTTTGAACAATGACGACATACCACAAAAATTCGGTGTCTCATTGAAAGCTAGTGCGATGTATCCACTAAATAAAGATTTCTAAAAACTATTTTTTTTTTAATTACAAATATTTCCAATGAAGACATGTAAAAAATTCGCATTTAATGCAATTTTTATATTTTTAATAAAAAATACATTTCATGGTTAAGTCCATTCGAAATCGTTCAAGTCGCAATAAAATTCTCAATTTTGCAAAAAAATGAATTTTAATTTTAGATGCTCCCGTACTTGCCAATTCTGTCAAGAGAGCAAAAATGAGAAACCGAAACCTGGTAAGAGCTCCATTTCGAGAAATGGAAATAATCTAAACGTTTAATAGACATTCTTCCAACGATGAGCAAATTAACCTTTCGTAGGCTGTTCTCTAGAACAAGTACAACTTCGTTTCCCCCACCGGTTCATTTTTCAACTCCTTATACAATAACAAAGATATTCGTATTTCAGATCTGCGTAGACCGTGCTCACGACTGCAAAAATAATGCTGATCTTTGTTCGCATCAAGCTTATGAACAACTTCAATAGGTTGTGCTCGAAAACATGCAACGCATGCAATTTTATAGAAGCAGACGATGACGACCTAAACCGTAAAAATGTTTCAGTTTTTGATTTTATTTTATGACTATTTCCGGAATCTGTTTTCTCATAATTGTGCAAGTATTTTCATTAATAATGTCTCGACTTTAATTTATTAAATATGATAAGGTCTAACTGTAAACTGAAAAATAACAAAAAACAACAAAAATTGGTCTAAGATTACGTAAATGCACTATCTACTCTTTTAGCTCTCCGCAATCAGCGATGGTAACAGTTTTGGAAGGATTTCCGGAACGCGATCCAATTTTTTCGACTTTTCGCACAACTGACATTCCGTCGGTAACTTGACCGAAAACTACGTGACCTCCATCGAGCCTGAAAAAAAAAACAATTTAAAAGAAATTAAATTATTAAATACCATGGAGTATCAACGGTGCAGATGAAGAATTGGGATCCATTAGTGTTTGGACCAGCGTTAGCCATGGAAACGCATCCGGGTCCAGTGTGCTTCAAATCGAAGTTCTCGTCCTCAAACTTATGACCATAAATAGATTCACCACCAGTTCCGTTATGTCTTGTGAAATCACCTCCCTGAATATTTCACAATATAAAATCGTTTAGAAATCTTTAAACCTGAATCATGAAGTCTGGGATAATTCTGTGGAATTTGGATCCTTTAAAGTGAAGTGGAACGCCGCTCTTTCCGACTCCCTTTTCTCCTGTACACAAGGCGCGGAAGTTTTCAGCGGTTTTTGGAACAACATCGTTAAACAACTAACAAATAATTATTCAGGATTTAAAAAAAATCAATCAATAAATCTTCTTACCTCAATCGTGATTCGCCCAGCTGGATCATTTCCAATGTTAACGTCCAAAAAGACCTTCAAAATAACAAATATATCATTTTTATTCAATGAAAAAATCAAAGCAAGGAAAATTGTTTTTTTAGCAAATAAATGTTCGTACGTTGAAAATGGCAAAACACAATAACGTCAAATTTAATATGTAAAATCTTCCTTAAATGTTTAATTTTCTTACCTTGCTTCTAGCCTGAGAAGCGAATCGGGCAGAATTTCCAACAATGGACGAAGCACGAAGAAGGAATCTCATTACTCTGAAAAATTCACACAGAAATTTTAAACGCTTAACCAATAATAGGCAAAAGTCTGAAAAAAAAATAAATGGAAAGAAAACAAAAAAGACGCCAATAAAGAGGTACTGACGCGTTCTCCGCTCAAACAAGCGGAAGTTCAAATACTTTAATAAATAAATAAATAATAAATTAGACAAATAAGTCTTTTGGTAATACAGTGTTATTGATACATTATGTCGAAGTTATTAAATTAAGATAATTTATTGCCTATTTTAAAAATAATAAAATTTGAAAACCTAAAAATAAAACAAAATATATTAATTTTTCTGGAAAGCTAATATTAGTAAATTTTCTGGAGATACACTGGGGGGTACATATTCAAGAACTTTTGTTTCAAATCCTTTTGTTTTTAACCATTCCGCCCTTCCTAACTCCAAAATCGCTTTCGCTCTTCGTCCCAACTCCAATGGAGGGTATAATGTTTTCCTAAAAGATGATTATACATATAAGAAGCTGATCAATACTTTGTTTCACCATCCAGAATAGAGCTCATCATCAATAACTTGCGCTCCATTAGTTGCAAAAGAAACAATGTAGCGCAATGCCGCAAAATCCTCTTCCGAATCCATATCCCATTTTGCAAGAAGCTCTCTACCGCCGTACTACATATTAAATATATTTGATTTTCGAAAATAACTGAACATGAAACCTCAGCATATCTGGATTTATGGTGACAGCACGGTACTAGGAGCGCTGCGTCAATATTCAGAGAACTATTTAATAAGCTACGAATACCGGCATCAGTAGCGCTACCACAGAAATGTTTGCATACAGTCAAAATTCTAGAGGACTTCTGAAAAGAAGTCATCTTCTTTTAAATTGTTTCAGACGTTGTATACCGTGAGTAGCTCAATCTTCGATAAGTCCATGTGTTCAATAGCACATCGATAACGTACCAAATTCAAATCTGGATTTTCCTGCATTGCAATCTTATCCCATTTATTTCGAGCACCACTTCGATCCATTAAAATATAATTCGCTTGCGGTGCCGATTTTGTAATCCAGTACGCTAGCTGCCCCTTTCCTGCTCCCAATTCAAAAAGGCAACAGTTGTTCTCATTGGGTAATACACCATTTTCCTCAATATGCCCTATTATGGAGCTGATTTGAATAAGATTTTTCTTCTTTTGAAAGTTTAAATCCGGACTATTTTCAAGTTTCTCCTAAAAAAAAGCAGGCATTCAAGGCTCCTTACGTTTCAATGAATCAAACCTCGACGATTGAATTTTTGAGCTGTTTCACAATAATGTGTTGACTTGCCCATTCTTCATAACACTTCCAAATTTTATGAACAACGCTAATAATCTCTTCCTGAAAAAAATTAGAAATGAATTCTGATATGGTATTCTATTTTAATTACGTCCGTCGGCCTCCGATCAATTTTTTCATAGTATTTCGTCTCGCCAACAACAGCATTCGCCCCTACTTTTATGTAGTCCGTGACAATTACTCGAGAATTGCATTTTTTCAAATGCCTTTCAAGTTCCGATGCAAGGATTGTATGCTTATTGTCATTTGGACAAATGATCCGTTTCTAAGCAAAATCACTCTTAGAATCATTTGGTTAATAACCAGAAATATTTCCATCGCAAAAAAAAACGAGCTCCTTGCAAACCATTGCACTTTTTCGAGGCGTAATTCAAATTTGAATTTCGACAGTGGAAATTTTACTACCGTACTCTAGATAACCTGCAAAGTTAACTCGCCGTTATATATTAATACCGAAAAGAATGAGCGCCGTGTATAGATTTACGGTGAGTTTGATTAGCAGGTTATAAGTAGTACCGTACCCGATTTCGCACAATTTAAATTGAAACTTGAGTTACCGCCCAAAAATACGATGGTCCACAAATACCCAACCTGCTCATGTTTGTCTATATTCATCAAAAATTAAAATATCAATGAAATTACCGTGTTGCCCTCCTCAAAAATCGCGTGCTCCCCACAATATTTCATGCCCATCTTTACGAGCATTCGACATCTTCTTCCCTTCTTCGGTAAAACATACGCACATATATTCGATTCCTTCTAAATTAATAAACGATACTATTTTTTTTCAAAAAAAAAAAAAAGATAACGACAGTTTACCAGTACCGCACAATCAGCCATCCTACCGTTTATTCAAATATACTAAAAAAAAATTCTTGACAGAACTCGAAGCAATAAAATAAGTAGTTAAATCTAGCTGATTTCATGACAACAGCTACCAGCAAATCAAGTGAATTAAAACGTATTTTTCTTATTATGCGGGGACTAGATAAATAATAATTAAGTTACAAAGCACGTCAAAATTTATTCTTCCAAGTTGCGGAATGCATTCTGCATATTCTCCAACAGCTCTTCATAATCCTGTTTGATCTTCTCCTCACCATCGGCAACCGGGTCTTTGAATTTCATCGACGAAAGTTGGTAAAGTAGATCACCCATGCTCTCTCGAATAATGGCCCATGTGACTTTGCTTTCAGATTGGGCGGTGCTTTCAACGGCATGACGAGCCATATCATAGAATGCGATCATGTTTTTCAGCATGCCGACTGTTTTGTAGAATGGACAGAAACGATCATATTTGGTATAACCATTCTGTTGCAGGAAATCATCCTTGATAATTTTGGCTACTTCCAGCGTGATCTTATCGGACTCGGCCAACGATGCTTTACCGACGAGCTGCACGATCTCCGATAAGTCTTCCTCTTCTTGAAGAATTTCCTTGCACTTTGTCCGCAAATTTACAAACTCCGGGTAGTTCTTCTCGTAAAATTCTTCCAGAGCCCGCATATATTTCGAGTATGAGATGAGCCAGTTAATTGATGGGAAATGTTTTCGTTGCGCAAGCTTCTTGTCCAATCCCCAGAACACTTGAACAATTCCGAGTGTCGCAGACGTCACAGGATCGGCAAAATCACCACCGGGAGGCGAAACGGCTCCAACAATTGTGACAGAACCTTCGCGTTCAGGATTTCCAAGACATTTCACACGACCAGCACGCTCATAAAATGAAGCTAAACGAGCAGCCAGATAGGCAGGATAACCCGAATCGGCAGGCATTTCGCCAAGTCGTCCTGAAAACAAAAAAAATTCAAAATGTTCTTTTATTCTGCATAATTTTACCTGATATTTCACGAAGAGCTTCAGCCCAGCGGGATGTTGAATCAGCCATCATTGCAACGTTGAGACCCATATCACGGAAATATTCGGCCAATGTAATTCCAGTATAAATTGAGGCTTCACGAGCAGCGACAGGCATGTTGGACGTGTTTGCGACGAGAGCTGTGCGTTTCATAATCGAAGTCACAACACCGTCAACTTCCATCGTTAGTTCTGGGAAATCTCGGAGTACCTAAATATCAATTAAAATGGTATCGTTAATAACAACATATTGTTGAAGAAGGCCTAAAATATCCCGTTAATAATTGCTTATTACAGCCTAAAATTGCCAAAATGTTGACTACGTCTCTGTTTTCTACTGTAGTTTTCAATAGATTTCATACTAGGTCAGAACAAAAATGACTGTAAAATAATGAAGCTAACATTTTAGTCATCATAAGAAAAGTACTCCGATATTCGTCCGTCCTTAAGAATTTTTATTTACCTCAGACATTTCATTTCCTCTTTCTCCACATCCAACATAAATAATGGCATCGGAATTGGAATATTTGGATAGTGATTGAGAAATCACAGTTTTTCCACAACCGAACGCTCCAGGAATTGCTGTTGTGCCACCTTGAACACATGGAAACAAAGCATCAAGAACTCGCTGACCACAAAGGAGTGGATTATTAGCAGCCAACTAAAAAATGCAATTTTATTTTGAATGCGTAATATTTAATACCTTTTCAGCGCATGGTCTCGGGTTTCGGACTGGCCAAATTTGAAGCATCGAGAACTTTTGCGTTTTGCCAGCGAACTCTACTTCCAGCAATACGTCGTCAACTGTATATTGTCCAGACGGCGCGGCAAACGTAACAGTTCCACAAGCATTCGGTGGCAGCATGATTTTATGCTTGATAAGCAAGCTTTCAGCAACTGTTCCTATCTCATCTCCTCCAGTAACATGTGCTCCAACTTTAATATCCTTGCCGATGGTAAAATCCCATCGAGATTCCCGAGAAAGCGCATTAGTAGATACTCCTTTTGGTATATAGATTGACTGCGTTAGATCAGCAATATCCTTCAACGGTCTCTGAATTCCGTCGAAAATGGAGCCCATAATTCCCGGACCAAGTTCCACAGACAACGGTTTCCCAGTTCGAAGCACTGGATCTCCAATAGTGACTCCAGAAGTTTCTTCATAAACTTGGATTGTAGCGAAGTCGCCTTCAAGACGAATAATCTCGCCGACAAGCTCTTGATGTCCGACGCGCACCAACTCGTACATAGCTGATCCAGCCATCTTCTCAGCAGTTACGACAGGTCCCGATACGCCATATACGAATCCATACGTCGATTCGTTTTGGCCATCGCGCGGTGACGTCGACATTTTCTCCTGAAACGAACAAATCAGAAACAGCAAAACGTTTCGTGGCGAACGTGGCCGTGGCCGGGGAACATTCATATTTTCAGTTTGCGCAACCGAGAAATGTCTGACAAATTGAAATTTTCAAGCGAAATTTAAAACAAAAAATGACGAATTTAGTTTCAAATGAATGACTAGATCAAACCTCCGTTTTTTTCATATGAACAGTAAAAACGGCAGACTTCTTTTTCGCCATGTTAAAAGTGCACAATACCATATATAGTGCAACAAGGACAGAACAACTCAAATAAAATGATATGCACGAAAACCGGTGTAAACGGTAGCATTTCTATTGACGCAGTAGGCATATCATTCGAACATAATTTATTGAAATTAAAAGCAGCACAACGTAAATGAAATTAAAGTACAAGATTTTGAGAACTGGAGACTATGCCAATTATTAACACGAAATTGCATCTTCAAAAAAGTGAAAAATACAGCCAGATCGACAGAGGGAGAAAAATTTGCAAAAATACATTCAAGACTGCGGGACAGGGCACCAAAAATGCAAAATCGGCGAAAAACCATCAACTAAAAATCAATGATCGACGCGTTTTGCCTAACTGGAAACTTCTCTTTTTTTTATAAATTATGTAGTCTACTGGAATTTCTGCGTAAAAAATACTTCGTATGAACACTATAGACAATTATTTCAATTGCAAATTACTTGCTTTTGGAAGCTTGGGTTGTCACTTTGAAACAGTATATTCCCATGTAATCACAAATTTGGCGTGTAATGAAGAAACAATAAATGAAGAGAGAAATGAAGACATAAGCAGTAGACATGACCAGAAGCCGCTTCTCGTCGAACAAAAAGTCGTAGTACTGGTTGAGGATCAAAGATATTGGAGCAAGGAGGATCCAATCCCATAGAATGAGCTCACTTCGACTCATATGGGCAACAATTAATCGATTGGTAGCCTTAAAATTGTCAGTTTAGAGAAAAGCCGCTACTACAGAGCTTACCTTGGCCGCAACCGCTCCAAATTGCAACACGAAAATGACAACATAATCATCAAAAACAGTTGAATTCGACTTGCTGTAGATCATACAATATGGAATGACCACTGCCATCAGGGGACACGCGGGAAAGAGCACAGATGTTCCAGCAACTAAACATTTTGATATAAAAACGCATATAAAACAATATAAGAGAAATCTACCCGTTGATCCGTTTTTTCCAACACCATCAGAGCAAATCACTGATAAATATCCACAGGCCTGATACAACGTTCCAATAATTGCGGCGAGTAAAATGAAATGTTTCAGCGTGTATCCCAGAAAACCTAAAACTTTTAAAGTCAGATGATTCTTTGTATTCTAGGGCGTATTTGAATCCCAAAAAGGCATTTAAAAATGTACCAATGCTCCAGATATTTGGACCAAACACCGCAGTTATTAATAGCATACAAATGATACACATTTGCGCTTCGGTAACATCAAATCGTGAGAATCGAAGTTGTCCCGTACAATAAGTGCTCCAATGAGCCGTATAGAACAATGAAACCGAAATCAAGCAAGCAATAAATACACCGCATCCCACGGATCCCAATTGCAAAGCGTAGCATACATTTAAAGTAACAAACACCTTCAAAGGTAACATTAAAAAATTATAACGAAAAGGTGTTTTTTTACCTGAGAGGCGGAATCGCATCCATGATCGAATAGTTCACCCAATGGAGACGATGCACCAATTCGGCGAGCTTGTTTTCCATCAGTAGCATCCAAAGTTTGATAAGCGAACAATCCAAACGCGGCGAGGAGATATGCCCAAGCTGGAGCAGTTTCCTTTGCTGTCGGGCAAAAATATGAAAGGACGAGAACAGTGAAAAGATTTGTTATCAAACCTATGAATAGCGTAATGTATTACAAATTTCTGAATCGAGGGCTTACCGATTAGCGTTAATAGATTTGGTGCAACCCATCGCGGATAGTATTCCACGACATTTTCCCAAAATCTCTTCATGCAAAGCTCGTCCAACCAAGAAGTATCGACAGCTGAATAAATGTGCTCATCGAGGCGCTTTAATTCTTCCTGAGTTAAAAGACAATCGCTTTGCAGATAGTAATCGATTGGTCTATAGCCAACAAACGCGTCACTTTCCACGAATTGCGAGCGTGGTCGATATGAATACCTGGAATTAAAGCTTCAAAGACATTTTTAGTAAATTAATTGCTTTATTCTTACCTTTCCTTAGAGCGATCATTCAACGTTCGATTGTTTTTCGACCTTGACCGTGTAACCACCATTGTCTGAAAAAATTACCTACAAGAATGAGTTTTGAACATAGAACTAATAAATCTTATTTTAAAAAAATGCGGGTTTTATCTATTGTTCAAGTTTCATACTTTTACCCATTTTGATAATAATTACGAAACAAATTCGAAGATTTTAAATCAATTACGACCTGAACACTTTTTCACAATCGAATACAATTTGAATCGAACCAAAATCGTTTAATTTAGGAGCTGAAATCAGTGGTATTTGATTTAAAACGAATTTCCATAGAGAGAAAGAGAAAGAGAGGGTATCAAGGCAATAAAATCGTTTCTTGCTAAATATTTCATTAAATTCATAGATCAATATTCGAAAAAGTTGCAAACAACAAATTGAGTAATAAATAAATGTTAGAACCTCAAATAAATATTCCCACGAGTTTTTGCAAAAACTTAAAAAGACATATAAATATAAAAACAAAATTTAAAACGCGCAAAGTGCATAACACGCGTCATGCGCAGAACACTGACGCATTTGTAGTGTTTGTTGTCGGCGTTATTTTATACATTTTCCAGTCTTATTAACAATGCGCATTAATCAATTATTTTATTTGTTTAAATTTCAAATCACTTTTGTTCACTATTTCATTGAATTTTACTTAACATGAGGGATGAACCAGAAAGAAAAATATTCATTGCAGTGAATAAACTTTTGTTCTTCTTTTTTAGTTTTCCCACTTGGAAAATATTTTTTGGATCGGCAATCAATTATTTAATTGAGAGCGAAGTCTTTGCGCTGATCCTCACATCGACAGATTTTGGTTACTGCCGTTTGTTTTTATTAAGAGACTATAGAAGGCTATAGAAAAAACCCTTATCATGTTGAATATAACAAAATTTATAATATGACCACAATTGTACAACCATAATGAAAATACAAGTTCGAATTACAGTTTCTTGTTGTCTAACAATCATTATTTACATCAAATGAAAAACGAGTCTTCGATACACCGGAATCGGCAAAAATTCTAGTTTTACAAATATCTCAAAAAACTTAAATTTTCCCCGCATTCAGTTGTTGGAGACCTTATATCGAGCAATATTGAAAAATTAAATCTTATTAATACCGACAAAATGTTTAATGGGACGAATTTTATTTGAAGCGTATAAAACAAATCGCATCGAAAATCGGTGCTCTTTTTTCAATGTGGTCAAATTTTGTTTGGAATCGACCACGGTGATGACGATGTCGTTATCACTTTCAGATTTTGAGCTTTCCTCGACTGGAGTTAACTCTGATTGCATTCGTAGCCTCACGCGGAACAAAGAAACAACAATGACAATTATTAATTGGACACTAAAAATGTATAAAAATACTCCATAGCCAAAAGAGCTGATAAGATAAGCTAATGGAGTTCCGGCAAGCATCGATCCAGCTGAATTTTAGAGTTTGTATTTTGAGATGGACAACGTGCAACTTACAGCTGGCGACAAATGAAATAAAGGCACTAACAGTTCCCTGAATGTGCTTGTGTCCTGCCTGCGACGCTACCATACACCAAACGTTGATTGATCCATTAACGAACATTCCAGAAAGAAATCCGAAGACCGAGCTGAGTTCCTGCAATTATTGAGCTGAAATTATGAAAAATAAACTTCTTTAAGGAATATTTATGTCCTTTATTATTATTACAGGCTAATTTGTCCTGTCTAAAAGACTACGCGTGAAATAAACTTTTTGAGAATTTTTTTTTGTTAATAATTAATTTTTGCAATCAATATAAGAAAAACATCCTTGGCCAACAGAAGCCGATATTATAGGAAAAACAGAGAACCGTCAAATAATGGACGAACCCCAATATTTAATTTTGTAAACTATTCTTCGTCGCTGAAAATTTTCCCAAATTTCCCTTTAAGCATGTAAACAGGTGATTTTATACGAAAAATTTTCAGATCCCCCGGGCTATTTTTTTTTTGAGAAAATTATGTCTGCTGCATGAGGCGACTCGTCTAGATGATCTATTTTTTCCTTACCCGGAAATGACCAAAAATTTAAACAATGGATGAAAAACAGATGCTTCCATAGGCCGATCCATTTTTATCCTTTTCCGAGTTGGAGAGCCCGAACGAGCGGCGTACAAAGAACTAACCGGAAATTGGAAAATCCCGGCTGCACATATCATCATCAGACACGTGTAAGAAACGGCAATGACCCTTCTCGTCGCATCAACATCAAATTTACTAGTTGCCAAATCAATTATTATTCCAGAAGCCATGGTTCCAACAAGTCTAGAAGTTGAAACAATTTTGTAAATATAAATTTTATTGTCATCATACCCTCCGATTTCGTAGGTAATCTGAAATGCGTCCGGCGATATTTGAACATCGGTGAGAAATAACTGAACCCATGTTTCACATATTGTTCTCATCTGTTTTAGAACAAATTACTTTAGAATTCGGTAGAAGCATACCTCCATAGTAAATAAATACACGAATGCAATGTGCCAAATGACAATTGACCCTACGATGAGCCGCAGCCCGCTTTGGCTTTTTGCATTGGCCTTCGCAGTGTCAGGCTCGTTTTCTAAGGTTTTTGGTGATTTGTTATCTTCGCGAAGTGCGAAATAACACACTACCGAAAAAAGCAGCATTCCGGCACCAGTGTAAATTTCGACCTGACGCCAATTGAATCGCTTCGATACTGGCTGCAGGATTCCCGCAAATGTGCTACCACAAGCAAGAATCGAAAACATTGTTCCATAGGTGCCTTTAGAATACCACTAAAATATATAAATATAATGAGATTCAATGGAAATCGTACAAAAAAAAATACCGTTTGAACTAATAGCGTAGCAGGAACCCAGCCAGCTCCTTGAACAATTCCAAGGAATAGCAGTGCAACAAGAAGATGCCAAAATTCGGTGGCAAATCCTAAATGCATTTTGATTTTATTTTTGTTGTTATAATTATACAAACAAGACTAACCTAATCCCACAGAACAGGTCGCACATGTTATTAAACCGATGAGTAATAATGCCACCTTCGAATATTTATCGGACGCCACACCAAACAAAAATCGGCCAATTGTATAGCAAAATGCGTGTGCAGAAACAAGAAGACCTGAACATTTAAAAATACGAATAAGACAATGTTTGAAACTTCTTTGCAAAGCGTTCTTGGTAACTCTTGAACATGATATTAAAGTAATGCAACGGTGAATATTACTATTGTAAATTTTTGTACCGATTTGGAAATGGGTTTTTCTCGGTGTGCAAATTTGACTTCTCTTTTGTATGTACAGGGTGTCATTTAAGTTCCCGCACAACTTTGAAGACGTATATTTCTGAAACTAAAAGTCCAAATCAAACGAGACTCAAAATATTATTTATCTATAGTACAACAAATAATTATCTATTAACTCTTTTCGATTCGGCCTCCTTTCGCAGCTATGACTTCACGGAGACGCTTCGGGTAGGATGTGACTGTGGTACGCAGGTATTCGATGGAAAGATTGTCCCACTCCGCCAGTAATGTCCTCTTCAGAGCCTCTACACTTGAGTGGGGTTTTGCGTTGACCTTCTCCTGCAAGACCCTATCACGGAAAAGTCAAGCGGTTTCAGATCTGTGGAGCAATCAGGCCATTCGGATGACTTGATGAAGTCGGGAAAATGGGTCTGGCACCACTCCTGAGTAGTTTTGGCAGTGTGGGCGGGTGCTCCGTCCCGCTGAAAGACCCATATCTGCCCACCGAAATGCGTTTGGGTCCAGGGCATCACATGCTTCTCCAAAATGTCCCGAACGTAGACTTCTTTGTTCATTTTCACTCCCTGATCCACGAAATCCTGGGGGCACATCCCGGTTGAGCAGATGGCACCGAAAACCATCACACTGGCAGGATGTGAGGCTCGATTAATTGTTTTTCCTTTCTCAGAAGCTTGCTGGGATGTCTGGGCAAGTACTCAATGGTTTTGTGAGTAGAATGCCGTCTCCACAGTGAACAGCTTCTCGTTGGAGAAGACAGTGACGAGGTGTTGTCCAGACCGCGTGCGAGCAAGAAGTCGTTTTGCTTTTTCGAAGCGTCTCTGCTTGTTGACGGCCGATAGAATTGCCGCTTTTTGGACACGATATGGGGTCAGTACAAGCTTCGTTTTGACGATTTGTTCCAAAGCGAAGATGCTCATTCCCATGTCTGACGCTATCTTTCTCATGCTCCTGTGGGGGTTTCGGCTGATCCTCGATTTGACGGCGTTGATCTTCTGAGGAGTGGTTACTGAGACGAGTCTTCCTTGTCTGGGACGGTCACTGGTCGTATTTAGCTCCTTGAATCGTTTGATGGTGTCATAAACCGTTCTACAAGGCACACCGACCCGTTGAATGATGTCTCTCGGGCTCACATTTTGCTTATGAAGTTCGATAATGGAAGCGCAATGGATGTTAGCCTTTGCCGTTTCTCGGAAGCACATCCGAATGAGGTGAAACTTGGAAAGTAAGTAAAATATACCTTGTTCAATAAAAATAAATTGTATTGGTGTACGAAAAGTGCGTTAGCGAAGCTCTACATGGCGTCAAACTTTTGTGCGGGAACTTAAATGACACCCTGTAGATCTAATTCGACACTTTTAGTTTTTCGCCAATTTTCCGATTCGATTTGCTGCAAAATCTCTCGCGATGGTCGAAAATTCTCGCAATTCTCTAAGCCATTCGAGAACCAAAATAAAAGTTTTGCCACGCACTGTTTATGGTAGAATGTACTCAATTCTATATAGATTTAATTTGATAATTTCAAATTATTAACCGGTTTGAATAAAACGGTAAATATTTGTGTTTTCAATAACAAATATTCTAAAGGCATTTGGATGTTAGAGAAAATGAAATTTAATAAAAACTATTAATCTTCATTTTCTGCAGCCAATCATAAAAATCTAATTGAAATAAAAAATGTCGTCATGATCTCTTAGTCTTGCTAGTATAGGGACCATTTCAATTTTAATTTCAATGGCATTAAAATGGCATGAATTTGACAAATGCAATCAAAAAATTTAAAATATCACATAAAAATTCTTTTAAAACACATTCACGGATTATAAAGAAAGACGCATGTCCGTTAATCGACTTCAGCATTCGTCGGACACTGATTATAAATCATTTCCGCATAATTATAAACTTTGAATCTAGAAGATCAAATGATCATATATCATATCATCATCTTTATGCCAATCAATTTATACATCCATTTATATTGAAAACGTGCGGTTTAATTAATTTAGTAGTGGAAAAATTCGTAAATTTTGGTGTTTACAGAGAGAGGCACAAGCTCATACCGCACAGACGCATTTTTTGTATCATTTTACGCTTTCATTCTATTTTATATAACCTTCTAATCATTTTGCGAAGTTTCATGAAAATCAATTCGTTCAAACGGAAATACTGAAATCGTCGGTTTGAAAAATTAGGGGGAACACGTAAAGACGATTTCGAATATTCTTGGAGTGTACTGCAACCAACTAGAAACCACTTGGAAACGGTTTCGTGAGATTGGTGACTCTCTAACGGTCCTTGAAGAGGAAGAAACCAATCTCCAAAAACACTGGAGGGAGTCAAGCTCATGTCGTAACGGTGGGCGGATTTTTCAACTGTGAGATTATCGCGAATGTTGCGAAATCTTATCCTTAAATTTTAGTAATAGTGAGATAGATTCATTTTCAGTTCTGGTTATGCGAATATAAATAAATCAGGTGATTTGATGTTTCAAAGATAAGATGTCCGCCAACCACACCGCATTTCATCCGTATCACAAATCCGCAAAACAACTCACTCACCTATATTATCGCTATTCAACGTGATTTCCTGTCTTATGAGCGGAAGCAGAGTGATCGGAAGTCGTCGGAAATAAATGTGAGCAAAATAGATGATTGTAACTAGGATGAATTTGAATATCGTCTTCAATGCCGACGTCTTCATTATTTCATTCCCCAAACGAATCAAATGAATCTTTTATGTTGATTGGGGGCGTGGTCGGGGTATCAGTAGAATAATTTACAGTCACGTGGTTATGCGCGACTGGATAGCATCGTAATAATGATAATGCCTGAATTCCCGTGGCAGATGATAAAAATTTGCATACGGGAAAATCTGCAGCAAAATACCGACATATAAGCACAATATCACCAAGATTTAAGCTACATTCCGTATATTCCAGTAGACAAAACCACTATTGTGTGATTGTCAAATATTTACATTTTTAGTTCTGCGGCGTCGCCAATATAGCAATCTTTAAAAAAAATCCCGATTTTCTGAACGAAATTCCCTGATTTTCCGGCCGAGAAACGTTGGAACCAATTCCGCTCATTTTTGATGAACACTTTTTTTGGTTTTTATATTTTTCAAAAACACTCAAACGTTAACATTTTTACTTCAATACGTATTCGAAGATGAGAACTTTTGATTTAGTGACAAGAATTTTACATCAGAGCCGCATTTGACTGGAAACACTAACAGCAATAAATTGTCTGGTTTGGAATCTCGAATGGTCACGTGGAAATATTTATTTTAGTTTAATAGCGACCTCGACAGGCTTCAATGACCGAGGCACGAGATTGCCGTAATCATGATCGCATATTAACATCGCGAAAAAATTGCATAATTATGGTCCATCACAATTTTTCTAGGCGGTTATTCAAATTTTCTATAATAAATTTGCAAAAAAAAAAACGAGCGCGCTGCACCGATTTACGTTGAGTTGGATTCACTGGTTATTCGTATTCCCACTGTTTAAACTCAAATTTGAATTAAATTACCGCCTAAAAATACGATGGTCCACAATTTTACAAGGCGCGCCCTTTTTTTATTTTTTTTTTGGAAACAGTTAAACAGTTAACAAGATTTGTCTTGACATTCAGTATCTAGAATGTCGGAGCATGTTGGAGGATTAACGTCGTTTGAATCAGCCACGTTCAGTTTCTTCAAGTAGGCAGCTGAAAAGAGTTCTTCCTCGATTTGAACTACGCAAATTGGTCTCACAATGGAAATCATCTGAACTGATCCGTTTAATTTTCTTCCAATTTTTGATTTCAACTTTTTATTTAATTTGAGCAGCGCCACCTGCTGACGATAGAAATGATGGAAATGAAAGCTGGTTTAGAAATAAAAAGAAAGAACTCTCATGAAATTCTAATAACGTGATCCTGATCTGTTATCACAAATTCACATATTCATTCATTACGCTTAATTCAATACAAGCAAGCAGAATGTCGATTGTGACAATGAAGAGAAAGAGCTCAGAAGCTCATGTTGATGATAATGCGATCCCACCGAAAAGGGTCTGCTTCAAAAGAGATGTGACTGAGGTCCATCTCGAGATTGTTGAAGGTGCGCTATATATCTTCTTAATTGCCATTTTCTCGCAAATTTTGTTTCAAATCAAATATATTCTATTGTCGACGACGGACGAATTTGGGGTGCGATTGCTTTATTCCTTGAATTGTTGTCTTGGGTCTAAAAAAACTTAGGAGCGCATTTTACGTTTGATAACTATCATAATATGAAAGAGAATGTTTTTCATGAATTTTAAGTTCTTTGCTTATCAGCACAAGTGCCCAATGGTGGATTATAAGCTGATTTTGTTTTGTGTGACCAATTAAATGGCAGCACGCGCAATTTAAATTTCCCGAATTCGTTCGTCCAAGATTACTAGCGAGAAAACGATAATAAATTTACTCTCAATTGTGAAAAATGTTGTTAGAACGAGAAAATTTGAAACGAATTGGCTAAAAATATTTCGTATTTCGAGTGATATGTTTCGATTTCTAACAGCCAAAAGGGTTATTCTCAAATTTAAAACGTTTTCTGATCTGGAGTATTTTTGTATTGAGCTTCCCCGTAGTTCTTTAGTTTTTATCAAAAATTGCGGGGAAATTCGAAAATATTACAGAATTAAGGGGATAATAGAACAAGAATAACACAGTTATGAGAATTTTGTGAATTATTGAAAAATTTTAAAAAGTGGGGGGTCGGAGTTGATATTAAGATGATAATCAAAAAATTAATTTTCGCATTTTTGGTGCGTCGCTTTTTTCAAGCGAATACGTCTAAATACTCTTGAATATTGTGATAAAAACGTGTGAAAGTTGGGGAACAAATTTTTAAACGAAATCTTCTTAATTGACCGATTTTTTTCTAGCCAACATTTGATTCTCTAAACGACATTAAAGGTGACTCGGACGGCATGGATTCGGATTTTTTCTTCGTCACGTCATCTTCGTTCTTCTTCAATTTGGCGGTTTTGCGAGTTGTTTCCGTTTATTCTGTCCTGCGATATCGCCTTTAAAGTCGTTTAAAGGCAAAAAAAAAGGCAAAAAAAATCTGTTCGAGTTCGAAAATTTCGGTTTTAAGGTCCGAAAATCGGCCAGAAACGCACGCGAACTACTGGCGATCTGATCGAAGTTCGCATATCAAAGCTCAAAGATGTGCCGAGCAGCCCCAAGCGACCTGCTGTCTGGAGCCAGGTCGACATTGAGGAAAGCTTCGGGCCGGAGGACGACACGTGGGCCGAGCCAGAGCCGAATGTTCCGATGTGCAGTTCGCACTGCTCCGAGGCGACTGGCTGCTCCGAGAGCTGCCCCTGTCTTCTCGACGAGGTGCAATGTGACGGTACCTGCCCGTGCGTGCCTAGTAATTGCCGCAACCATAACACCATGCGGCTACTGGCAGAGTACCGTGCCCGTCGAGACAGGAAGGCGAAGCTCGTCGAGGCCAATCAGTGGTGGTCTGCGGTTCCGGTGGCAGAGGACCGCCCTCCATTGGTTGTGGCGCCGGAGGAGGAGAAGGAAGAGATGGCGGCCGGCAGCAGTGAAGGAGCAGAACAGTCAGGGCAGAATGAGTTAGTGGAGGCTCAGGAAGAGGTGGTGGTGGCCAATTTAGAGATGGGGCACTTTCATCCCGAAATCATGGGCGCGTTGCGAGGTCTCATCACTGATGATGACCTGCCCACGGGATACCAGACCTTGTTAACATCTGGTGCTGTGACGGCCGGGCTTCTAAACCTGGTGCAGTCGCAAAACCGCAAGGTCGGTGTGGTCCTACCGTCGGCCACGAAAGCTGTCATCGAGCGGACGGTGGACGAGGACGGCAAGCATGTTGCAACCATGCTGAAGGAGTGCACTGCCGGAGTCCGAAGGCATTGCGAGGTGCTCCTCATGCCAGTGCACCAACATCAGCACTGGCTGCTCGCAGCCTATACAGTGGCGACCGGCAAGTGCGTCATTTATGATTCGCTTGTCGCGAGCCGCTCGCGTAAAACCAAGGCCACCATCTCGAATGGGCTGAAACGAGCTCTTGCCGCACTCTATCCGTCGACACTTTCGAGTGTCAGATGGGCTCCTCAAAAACACCAAGAGGCCCAGACGGACGGGTTCAGTTGCGGCCTGTTCGTGATCGCCAATGCCAGGAAATTTCTGTGCTCAAAATCAAGCAACCTGGCGGCGGCTGAGCGTATGGATGTGGCGAGGGAGCTTAACCTTTTGCGAGTCGTCGTGAAAGGGCTGAGTCCGCAAATTCAAACAATTGCGGACGAGGCATTAGCGAATCCGCCTCTTCCCGAAAATGACCCGAGTGTTTCAATAAGATCCAAAAGAACCTCGGCGATTCGCGCAACAACAAAGATCACACGACTGTTCTGCGAGAGACTGGTGTGAACGAGCAACATTTAAAAGAATAATATATTGAAAACAACTATATAATATATATTTAATGATTAAAAAAACTATATTAAAATAAAAAGAATAAAAAAGAAAAAAAAGAAAAAAAAAGAAAAAGGGGGAAAAAAAAAAAAAAATTTTAAAAAAATGAAAAAAAAAAAAGAAAAAGAGAAAAAAAAAAAAAAGAAAAATAAAAATAAAAAAAAGAAAAAAAAGAAACAATAAAAAAAATTTAAAAAAAAACGAAAAAAATATATATATATTATTATTACCGTTAAAAATATATATATATATTATTATTACCGTTATGGTCGATTCCTACATTAGGAAACCATTTATTTGCTCATATTAGTTCAATTACGATTTATTTGGAACTGAGAAGAAGCTGAACATGATGCGTTATTTTAGTTTGTTGCTCCTCGCTCTTCTCGAAATTGTGATGTGATTATTCTGCTCGAATAGTCTTCATCAGTGACTCGAATTTTCGGCAGATATCTGGCCAAATGCTTCAAAGATTGGTCTGATTGGATTAATCGCGATCCATTTGTAGTAAGAGTTTAACACGATGGGCCAAAAATAATATTTCTTTTCAGTTTAATGTATTATCTGAATTCAATTCAAAATCGAGCGAATTAGAATATCAAGAAGCTTGGATCCAGATTAAAGAGAAATGCTATTTATTAATTACTGCGACGCAGATTATGATCGACGAAAAACTGTTCGGATGGAAGATTTTCTCAATATTGTTATTTCCTGAAGAATATATGGCGATTCGATGTTTTTCCGATCAATGCTTTTAAATTACGAGAATAGCACAGTTATTTGTATATAATCTGGTCGGATTCACAACTAAAAGCACAAGAGAAAGGTGCAAATTTCAAGGTAATCGAATGATTTCGGATCCTTCTAAAAATAGTTCTAGAAAGTAAAAGGTCTCGACTATAACAGTGTCCGAATTGTTGCCATAATCGATGAGAGAAGCAATCGAACCGACTTGACTCCCGAAGATGTTCTTGATTAAATTTATCCGATGAATAGAGCACACGATCGATATGCTCTTGAGATGGTAGCGATTATATATTATTCGTTTTTAATCAACCATTTAGAAACAAATCCAAATATTTATGTTATTTTGAATCCAATAAGACGAACTGGATGAATCAAAATAATTCAAATCTAAAAATGTGATGGTAAAAATCGAATCTTTTTTGAACAATTATTTAAAGCACATAATAATGGTGCAAATTAAAAGGTAACAAAACCATT